TACATGCATACATGCATACATGCATACATGCATACATACATACATACACATACATACATACAAACACACACACATGCACACACACAAACACGCACACACATACGCAGATCTGTCAATTAGCCATAACTGCCGTCTTCAGGTGAATTTATCTTCAGTCCTGTTCATTTCGTTTTAGATTTTATAGAGCGATTTTCTTTCTCATAACTAATGGCGTGTTACAGGTAATTGTAATGACGAGTAACGTTTTGATTGGATCTAATCGGATCAAATTACATCTAATGGGGGGTATAATATGCAAATCTGGAATACAATATACAGGGAATTAAATTATTAGACAAAATTAAGGACCGACTGCACGAGTTAACAGATGAAATAACAGATTCTGTACTTTTAGAACTGGCCAACTTGTTACTGCACCGAGACGATACAGTTAAGACCGTTAAAAGGTAAAGCGGTTTGCTGCACCGTCGTGTCGTGTCGTTGTACCCACAAAAGGTCATCAAAGGATAATTAATTTATTATCATAACGACATTTGCTGCCTCAAAGAATCGCGTCATATGTTAAGATTTCATATCTCAGTGCTGTATAACACTACTTTTAATTTATAATCGAGTTTTAATCAAGCTAGAGATTTTAATAATAATAATGATAGTAATAAATAGCATTTATACAGCGCATTTCAATTTTCTAAAAATAATGCTCAATGCGCATTACAACGAAAAAGACACCACATCTTAAAAATTAATCGACATGTGTGTACGTAAAACAAAATATTCATTACACATATAATATAAATGTATATGTGTAAAAATGTATATGAGAAAAACAATCTCGCAATGAGGTTGGAGTTTTTTCTGTATTTATTTCGTAATTCGTGTTACTAAACGGGCTCGAAAAAACAAACCAAAACGGGCTGGTTGATGGTTTTGGTACACATATACTTGAGAAGAAAAAGAAATACCGGATACCCTATTCTTTGAGAACGCAATATTTGTTTTCGACGTTAAACGCAAGAACAAAAATCACCGTAAGTATTTGAAGCAGCTTTTTCCCCTATTTGTCCTGCATTTGAGTACAATCAATACAACTATTTTTCAATCACCAGAACATCTCGAGTAAAACAGCAGATACTGCCTCAGCCTCATTTCTATCGGAGGGCAAAATCCGACAGTAGATTGGGATTTCAACTCTGAAATAACGTAGAGGACACATACTTTTATTTCTGTTATTTCTGCCCGACCAGCTGCAGACAAAAAGCAACCTTGCGGCCCAGTTTCAATCATCACACACAAATCAAAAGTACGAATTTGTATATTTTATAGTATTCATTCATGCAATAGCCTGCTATTTTATGTTTCAGAAAAAGAAAGCATATTTGAATAATATGTACGAAAAAGGAAGTTTTGTTTTTTCTTTTTTATTTCACTTGTTTTTCTTTTTCTTTTTCTTTTTTTTTTTTTTTGAAACTGCACAATTCGATTCTCTAGTGAGGAGTATCTCAGTCGTTCTCTTTCTGCTGGGATGTTGTATCCCTCTCAGCCCGGGCTGGCCCTGGTAGACGCGGTCGAAGCTTCCCTTGTAAATGATCTAGATTGTGTGAGTAGGGACGTAAAAAACCCAAACCCACCTACATTTTAAAAAAGCTCTTTCAAAACTGAACAGACTTCCTTCATATGTAACCCCTTATGTCGGGTGTGCAGCAGTAGGAACTCTGTGGCCTTGACCTAAACATCGAACAAAATGATGTTCAGAAATAAAAATGAATACATATTGATTCAGATCATTTGTTCAGTAATAATTAGGTGCAGAAGAAAGATGAATACGAAATGTCTCTCCTAGAAAGAAAACATCGATTTGAAAAACGAAACAAATAAATGTCGAATCAGCACCGGTGGCGACTATTTTAATTTCATGGCGTGTATAATGAGGCTGGGAAATAGTGATTTGTGTGTAGCCCGGGGGGAGGGGGGGGGAGGTTATGAGAGTAATGTATCTTTTATAACAGTATAGAACAGTTGGGGTCAATATCGTTCTGGTTCTGATTCCTATTGCGATATTCTGCAATATAGCGGTTCATATTATGTTGATCTCATCTTGTTGTGAACTGACAAAGTATTACCACTCGTATGGTCGTTCGT